GAGGGGGAGAGGGAGAGGGAGAGAGGAAGAGGGAGAGGGAGCGAGCTATCTCTAGCTACGCCTTCCTCTAAGCTCCGGGAGCCCAGGAGAGCGCTCATTTTAGGATTTGGGAGAGGGGTAAAAACAGGAAAGGCGTCCCCCGCTCTGCGCTGGCCGTGTTGCCCAGGGAGGGAGGACTCTGGCCCGCGCCCCCCTCCTGGCGGGCGGCCCTGGGAGCCGGGGAGCGCGCGGAGCGGGCGGCGCAGGGAGCTGTCCGGTTCAGCACCACCCGTAATGCAGTAGGTGGGAGCGCCTCCGCGGGGGCCCAGCCGGCAGCAAGTGGGGGGCAGGCGCGCGGCCCACCCTGCAGCAAGACGCCGGCTCCCTCGTTTCCAGGAGCTTTGCAGAGAGGGGGAGGGAAACCCGCCTCGATTCTCCGGGAGAAACCCCCTCTCTCCCCCACTTCGCCAATACTACCCCCGCTACCAACAACAATAACCGCCGCCGCTGCTCGTCCTGCCGCCGCCGCCGCCGCTGCACCTGCCCGCCCTGCCGCCCGCCGCCGCTGCCCGGGCAAAACCATGGAAGGCGAGACCCCCGTACCTGTGCAGCTGAGCTCAAGGGCTTACAGAATACTGGGAAGTCTGGTCTGAAACGAAAGCGCCGAGACCCCCCAAGGAAGAGAACTGGCAAAGCAAAGGATTTTCATGGCGCAGGCCGCAGAGCCGAGAACGAAGACCGAAGGTTGCATCTCGGCTCTTACAATCTCTAACTGTCTAGGTCCCGACCATGAGAAATGGTGTTGAGAATTCGGCTGCTCCCTGGTTCACTGTGGAAGCCATCTCCAAATTAGCTATCACATATGGAAACTGGAGACCAGAATTTTAGGAAAAGAGATTAAGGCATCTCACTTGGGGGGGTGGGGGGTGTCTTTTATTTATTTTCCTTTTTTTTTTTTTTAAATCACTGCAACTGGAACAGTTTCTGATCTCAAAAGGCAAGCCTCTTCCCGTGTGATCTTTATAATTTACACTCTTTTCCGTGAGCTTTCTTACCTCCCTTTTTTTATAACTCTCCATATTCTCTATTCATACATATATCCATTATATTAGTAGTGGAATAATTTTTATTTTTATTTATTTTTTTTTCTTGCTTTAGTACTTGCACCCTCACACACACTCTCCCGAGAACCAGAAGTCGGTTGGGTGTTTATATAATGAAGAATTATGGGGCTGTTTGATCGAGGTGTTCAAATGCTTTTAACCACCGTTGGTGCTTTCGCTGCCTTCAGCCTGATGACCATAGCTGTGGGAACCGACTATTGGCTGTACTCCAGAGGGGTTTGCAAGACCAAAAGTGTCAGTGAGAATGAAACCAGCAAAAAGAACGAGGAAGTTATGACCCATTCCGGATTATGGAGAACCTGCTGCCTAGAAGGTATTTGACTTCCCATCTCCTCCCCCCTCTCCACCCCACCCCTCCCCTCTCACTCCCCCCTCCCCCCTCCTCCAAATAAGTCCCCTTTACATTCCACCATTTTCTTAGTTCACTCCTTCCACCACTGATCAAGGTTGGTTGGGTTAGTTTCAGAGGAAAGAAAATCAATAAGCAAAACCCATACTCTACTCCCTTGCTTCTGCCATCCCTCCTTCCCCTCAAATATCCTCATTGGAATAATCTATGACATGGTGAAAACAACAAGAGATTGTCGTTAAAAGTCAAAGGTGTTCTGCCTGCTTTGGAGTCGTTAGGATTTACCATCTGATTTAGCATTGCCATCTATGAGAGGGGAAAATAATTGCTTCTGTCTGTGTTGTTTCTCTTTTCGCAATGAAGAATTCAAAAATGCTCTTCCCTTTTCCCTCCTCTTCCCTTTACTCCCCAAAAGTCCTAGACGCATCACTATCTGCAAATCTCCTTATTTAAAAAGGAATCTCTTGTTTCTAAGAATCCTTATTTGGAAAATCCTAATTATTCCAGGATCTCAAGCAGGGTTCAACAGCATTTCGTAATGTCTATAAGCCACACATATCGTTCGAGGTGCCTGGCTGCGTGTGTGTATTTGTGTGTTTTAGCGTTTACAAAGTCTAAAAATGCATACATCTCTCACAGGAAACAAGTCCAAGTTCTAATAAACAGCAATTCACTTGTCGGTTAGGCTGCCACAGAGTGACATGTCTGTTAGCCAGAAGCTAGTAGAGTCAGCATTGCAGCCGGCTTGAGAATCAGACATTGTGCAGGCAGGGAGGGAGGGAGAGAGGGAAGTGAGGGCATGGGGAGGTTGAGGGGGGAGAAGGGGGTGTCAGCTGTTTGCCTTGATCTTGTCGGGTGTTGAGAGGCATGTATGTCTGTGCTATGGGTGCAGGGGCCCCCACGGTGTAAAGGCTGGGGGATCAGGCTATGGATGAAGGCATGTACTTCTGAGGCACATTAATAAGCACAGAAAAAACTCCTCTGGGTCATCCAACCTGCATTTGGCAACAGACTTTAATATGAGGGATTGCATTTGAATGGCTGTATATGTCTGTGAGTGCAAGCTACGGCCACCCATAGAAAGACGTGCACAGAGAGATACATATGCCTCCATGTGGAAAAAAAAAAGGCTTATGTGCTTTGCTTCTGATATGAACCAATACTGGAGGCCGTTTGAGGCAGCGTCGGGAAGCAGGAACTGCAGGATTGTTTGTTAAGCTCAACATGGGATGGTGATGCAGGGAGTTGAGACCAGGAGATGGGGGAGAAAAGAGGGAAATGGATGGGTGAGGGAGAAACTGATGTGGCCCCAGGGTCTAACCCAAACTGAGCCAAAGCCACTCTTTGGGAAATGGTTACATCTGGGAAAGAACACAAATCCCATGTCCCCCTCCCAACATTCTTGGTGCAAACGGTTGAGTGATGGCTGAACATGTTTTGAATAGCTAAGTGACTTCATTGAGCGATGGTCTATTTGACGCATACTGCATTTGGTGCCCTTTCTCAATCCAAACTGCTGCCTTTAACATATTCTGCAGAGGAGCTCTATGCTGAATACTATATGCTCTTCCCCAGCCAGAGAATCAATATCAGGAAATTAATAGGGACTGTTTTAAACACACGCACACTCACACACACCCTCCTTAAAAAAATGAAAAGCCTTTCATACAGCTAGTCATTAACAGTGGAAAGACTTCCATTTAATTAAACATTTATGACAGACTTTTATTCCAAAAGAGAAGAAAAGCAAAGTGAATGAGGACCACTTTAGCGAAATGATCGTAAGTGGCAATTTGCCTTCCTTGGATTTTAGTTAGATGGATGGAGGGAGGTAGGTAGCCAAGAGACTAGAGGAGAGACAAGACATTGTTTTAGGGTAAATACGCCCAGAAATGGGTGGGTTGACATAAATACACTTTTCTAAATCTGGGTTTTATTTCCAAATTCTTAATATTGTGATCTTTAAAGCATTGTTTAATTCCCAGAAGGCAAACAGGCTAGAGGTAGCTTTGTATCACTCGTGCATTAAAAAGGCTTAAGTATTTTCATTAAAATTCCATCTGTTTGATGTCCACATCCCCAAATGTGCTGCCCACCCCCTTTAACTTTCTCTCCAAGCTACACACTCCCTCTCTCCCTGAATCATCTGTAAAGGGTTAGAACTGGAACTCTTCCCAAGGATTGTGTGATGCTCGCAGGCACTGTGGGTTTGGCCACTCTCCCCTGTGGGGCCACACTGACCCCAGGCATTACCGTGGAGCCTCGCCAGACTCTCCTCAGGGATGATACTAGCTTTCTACTTGTAGCCATGGCTGGGGTAGGAAGGGTGGAGCTCCGGGCCCCATTTCGACCTGGTCTTTAATTTCCAAAGCCTCTGTCAATATGGAACTTCACAGGCCTGGGACCACCTTAGGAAGCTGGGCCTTGGCCACTTAGGAAGTGGTTTGGAGATTGTAAGCCTCTTACTTTCAAAGACAGCACTGATTTCCAAAGGCTGGTAAGTTCGGCTGTTTTTGAAAGTTGGCGTAGACAGTCCTTGGGGCCTGTCCCTGTGCTTGCTTTTATGAGCACTCAGAATGGGGTTGGTGTCTATGGAGATCAAGTTGTCAGTGGTTGGGTTCCCACAACTTTTGTTATTTTTTTGTGTAAAATTGGACTTTCAAAAAAGATTTCCCACCCCCTCGACCCAGCCCATGACCACTTGATCTGTGTTTTCTGCCCATTCCAGAGAAGTTGCAAACAAATTTCACATCTTTCTAAGATGCCGCTAACGACTCCAGATGAAAAACAACCCTGTCTTCCTCTGATCTCTTTTGCTCTCTGGTTTTCATTAGGGCTTTTTGTCTCCCGAGGTGATTATTTTCGTTCACCTCTTGATGGAAATAAGAATAGAAAAGAAAATGTCCTTGCCTGTGAGGCTGCTTTTGAAATTAACTAGTCTACTGAAGAATGAGAAGTGACATGGCCACCTGTTAGGGACAGGCATGGGGGGAGGCGGAGAGGAGTCAGAAAAAAAACCACAGCCCTTACTTTCTCCCTCTGCAGACTGAAAAGTCTCTGTGTGTGAGCTTGAACTCCCTAGCAGGCTGGTGTCCTTAGGGGCATTCAAGGAGCGTGGGTGGGAGAAGACAGTGGGTATGTGGGTACAGGTAGGTGGAGAGTGATAGAAGTCTGTGAACTTTTCAAGAAAGCTGAATTAAGAGTCTCCGCATGGAGAGACAAATTGGCCCTTTCAGAGACAAGTTCAATGAAATCTACAACAAGACATTAAAACAGCTTGGTCAAGCAAGGTGTCTCTGGGCCGCCCGGTGGCTTGCTGCTCAGGATATTAACCTCTGTTGTCACCTAAAGGAAACATTGTCTCTGGGGGCAGCAAGAAATTCACTCTTGGCGTTTATTCTCTCCCGTGCCTTCCTCCCCTCTGTCCTGGCTCCGTGGCTCCCTCAAAGGATTTCCAGCCCTGCA